ACAAATATTTATCTATGGATAATGATAAATAAATAACTGTGTGAATTTGTTTTAATTTTATTACAATAATAAATAAAAATTATTTGTCTTTTCATCATTTAAACAGCCAAAATGCAGCTGAAAAAAGTTGTAAAAAATATAGTGACTCGAAATGTTTGCACGCTACTCAATATAATTCATTTCATCATTTTATTTTATATAAAAATGCATAATAATTTAATATACACTTAGATAACATTGAGTTTTTTTTTAGTCTAATTCTAATTACCGGTTATTATTTGTCATTTGAAAATAAGTGACACTTACTGTTTGTTGCTTAACATTTTCACTAGCGAAAATTGACGTGTTTTTAAGAAATTTAGTTTATATTAATTTTAGAATAATTTTTTTAAGTTATTTGGTAGTTTATTTTTGAATATAAATATCCTTTGTATCAAATGAAAAAGCTCATTTATCATGTTTACTAAAACCGTGCAGAGTTATTGTATCGATGTTATTGATGACGCTACTGATGATTTAATATATTGATTGATTCTTTTAAAAGGTTTTAAAAATGAAACAGTCTGTTCAACGGTGGGTACTACTTAATGTAAATGGTGTGAAATCGCATTTTAATCTTCTTTTGTTATTGCATCATTTTTATAAGTTCCTGCTTTATATAATGTCAATTCACATTCGCTTTGTGAAAAGAGTCTTGTAACATAAGAAAAAATAAATGGTAGAAATTTATTTGCGCAAATATGATTTAAAAAAATTTTTTTTAACTATATATTACAATAATAATTTCCAGAGCGTAAGAAAAAAAGGAGAAAAGGATCATATTTTGTTTAATTCTATTATTTATTGTTGTTACACTTATATATTTATTTTTTGATATTTATTTTTATTGTTATTTTTAAGATCCACCTTGTAGAGATTACAAAAATGATTTAAAACTGGCTAAAAGATACACTTTTAAATTCATTTGCCTTTCTTAAGAAGTTTGCATGTTTTATTATGGGAGGATAAGCAATTTTTATTCTTACATTGTTAGGAAATTCATCTAAGGCGAAATTTATGTGGCCATAAACAATATCAAATAGAATATCATTCTTAGCTACCTTTTGTACTTAATCCAATCGCCAACTCTGAAAAACTATCCTGAACACGCGTTTTTTAATTAGAATAATTCCTGATATCGTATTTGCTTATGATAAAATTTAAAAAAATAAAGAAGCTTTAATCCGTTAGCTAGGTACCAGAGGCAGCTATAAGAAATTTATTGATATGTATCAAGCATATAAATAGGTACAAATCAAAAATTATACCTTTTCATAATTGGATACTAGCAGGCGTCGTCATACGATAATCAGTTAATCAAGCTAGACACACACTCGTGACGTCACTTGCAAGTATCCATTTACATCTTCTCCGAAAATTAATTCAGTGTGGTAATGATCCCTATCCTTAAAGCTGCAACGTTAATTCGCCATGCACAACCACGTGATTAGACTCACCCATGTGGTTAGTTGTAGCTCTCAATTAAAACCATTATTAACTTCTAACTAAATATTCTCATTTTTTAATCTCATTGGAATCAGCTAGGTTACTCAGTTTTCAGTTAAATGCATACTTAGGTTGTAAGCTTATTCACGTTAAACGTATTCATGCATGAGTCGTAATTTAATAAGAATATTCATACTACATACGTTAAGATTACTTACATTATAAGATTATAAGGAAAAATATTAAATATTTGAAGGGAAAACAATATTTTATTTTTTACTATTTACTATAATCCATAAGAGTTTTTTTTTTCTCTAACCCTTTTCTCCTAATACAATTTTCGTAGATGTACATTTCATGAGGCAAAGAAAATTTATAAAAGATTTGTGCATTTGTCCTAATTTATCTCGTAGCATTACTTGGTGATTTGAATGATGGATTAGAAGTCATTTACTTTGAAAGCAATCTATTACTGTCGACAATGAGTTCTATTTGTCTTTTAGGAATCTTTCTTTTTTCTCAGACAGATCCTATTAAGGTCACAGATTAGTCTTTTGGCCAAGTAAAAGAAATTATTTTTTCTTATTTGGAAAAATATTTGATTGTTTCTAAGTACATATATAGAAAGATATGATTTTTGAATTACTTTTATTTAAAATTTTTATTAATCTAATAATAAGTTTTATTAATCTAATGTTATCAAAATAACATTCAATGTTAATATATTTTGCAATATTAACTAGATAAATCAGATATATACGTTTAAGATATTTCATATTGATCCTAATTGAGTGGATGAATATTAATGGCACAAGAGCTATGCTGTATCCCGTTTAAGATAAAAAAAATCAAATTTCATTTACGCAAAAAGATAACTCAAATGGTGCTAGATATTATGTCTGACGCAGAAAAAGTGTAAAAAGTGATTAAACAAACAAAATGGAAGAACAATCATCATAACACTTCGAAAATGTTGGTAAAAAAAAATTCTCCTTGGGGAATTAAGTTTCAAAATATGACTCAATTCCACGGCTCCCCTTACCGATTTCTTCGAGAAAAAAACTGCAAAAACTCATCCAATTTGTTTATTCCATTATTAAAGATAAAAAAAACTAAAAAAAGATATAATACGGTTTTAAAAAATTTACTTCATCGTTTGTCCAATCTGGCACCATTTCATACAAATAGTCCGAACCCTTCTAAATGTAAAACAGTTTAAAAACGTTCTATACTTTTTAATAACCACCATTCTTTAAGCAAGATAAAACTTAAGTATGTTTCCTGACACCCTTATGCAACTAAAACGCACTTCTTCGATTCGATTTCTTCGAGCCCGCTTGATCGCTATTCGATAGTGACTGGTTTCCTAATCCAATTGGAACATTAGGCCAATATCAAAGTAAAAAAGTTGCCGGTCGAAGAAACTTCTCGTTTTTTGCAGATCACGTGCGATATATTTCACCTTCACCAATAAAAAAATTCGTACGAGTTTTCTCAACTATGGGTTGGAGGATAATTTTTAACTATTGACTTTCGAATAACGTTTGCTCTTAAAGTTTCGTTCTTATTCTGGATATCTGTCTCAGTAATCATCCGAAACATCACTTAAACTTTAAAAACGGCATTTTTTTAAAAAAGTGATTTTTAAAACAATTGAATAGTTAGTTTAGTTTAGAAAAATAATTTTAAGCGATTTCGAATACCATGATAAAGAGCTTTCAATTTTTATGTTCCCCTCTTTAAAAGTTTCAAGTTCTTTTGATTATAAATTTTTAATTTTTGAAGTATGGTAAAAAAAATACTTTTTTACATTCCTTATAGATAATAGTTTGTAATTTCCAATCTTTTTATAATTTCAAATATCTGTATCAAGAAATGTAATGAAATAATATAATTACAATAACCTTCCAAAAAATGATAAGCAATCCGATATTGGCACTTTATTTTTAGTAATAAATAGCATGAATTAAAAGTGACTACTGTTGAAGATCAAACAATTGTTTTAGATTTCTATCTCAAAAGTACTTTATAAATGCTAATAAGTAATTCGAAGTATTTGCTTCGAATAGTTTAAAAAATAGTATACCATTGCTCAATGAGTGTATTATTAATATAAAATTGTAACGGAGTTCTTGTATCATATTCATATAATAACATGTAACATAATCATATACAGTAACGTATTCATATATTTGCAAGTTTCTATCTTCCTATACCCCTTCGAACTTAGCTTTCGATATCTAGCTATAGTGTTTTCACGTGACAAAAAACGTTCGAAATGTTTTAGTTGAATCAGGAAATGTGCAGTTTTTTGAGTGAATCGAGAGGAAAGCACTAGTTTGATCAAATTTTGTTTTAGTTGCATAAGACTGTGAGAAAATGCAACCTACAAACGCAGTTGCTGAATTTGAAATTCGCACTGCAAAAGGCAGTTGCAATTCTGCCACTCAATACGAAAGCTCTCAAACAAAACTTGGCAAACTGCCAATCAAATAAATAAATAAAAAACTTTTTTTTGCCAAGTAAAACGAAAATATTGGCCATTTTTGCTTAGTCTTAGTATTCTCGGCATCATAATTAATTACAATTTATAAAACCTGAAATATAATTTGGGATCGATCACCAGATAATCCGATAGAATGTTAGAGGTTTAAGTTAAAAGACTTTAATTTTTAACATTCAAAACATCATGAATTTAACATTTCAAAAAGGTCATACAAGTTCGTAGTGGAATTTACAAATTTATTATATTTGTGTTGTTGCATTTTGCTAATATTAACAATCATATAAACTGAAATAGTTATTAAATACAATAAAATATTTGTAACAAGATTAAACATCTCGGAGGAGTGCAATTTTGTTAATCAAATCAAACTATAAAAAAAGAAACAGATACGTCGTGAGAAGGAGACATGTTTTAGTCTTTTTTCTGGACATAAAAAATATATCTTTGCTTGGAGCATCTTTAACACTGTATTTTCTTTTAATTTAAAAACTTAGAGCCACATTTTTTCTGAAAGTGGTATTTTTACAACCCACTGTTTTTTTAGTATTGTTTTCCTGGGAGTACAACTAACTAGTAACAAATCTAGTTGACTAGGTTTCCTGGGAGTACAACTAAAGGTAACAAATAACTAGAAAATCCAGTCGACAACAAAAGAATACCATGAAGAATTGTATCTATATGGACGTACATGACGTTTATCACCAAAAGTGCTCTCTTAATCAATTTTAAAATATGTTTTGTAGTTCTATTGTTCAAAAAATTTTACCTTTATAGTTGATCTTACTAAGATTGTATGGAACTCCATGTAGTTCCCCTTGAAATATTAGTGTTATTGTAAATTTCAGATATAAAATAAATAAAAATATACTATTCTAATCTTCAAAGCTCTTTGTACTCTTTTGAGAAACTTTTTTGAGAAAGGATGATAAAATCATTTTTTACAGCATGTAGTTGATATTTATCATAAAGAAACACTTCTTCACTAAATAGATTTCTTATTGTTTCACAGATAAAATATTTCGTTGCCAGACGCAAGTTCAAAGAAGCCCTAAAGCCTTATGATGTCAAAGATGTGATAGAACAGTACTCAGCTGGTCACGTGGACCTCCTGAGTCGAGTTAAAAACCTACAATGCAGGCAAGATAATCCCATTTTTTTAATATATTGTATTTAATTAGTAATTAAGTATTTTTGCAAGTATTTATAAGCCATAACCTTACAGTCAAGCTCGAAAATAATTAGGAAAAAGCTGAAGAGTGTTTTAAATGCTTTGGTTAAAGTTGGATTTGGATATCTAATGTTTTCACTCCTCCATCTAATGTTTTCACAGATTTGGATATCTAATGTTTCCTCCAAAATAATTTTTGGACATACATATTGATTCTAAACCAAATCACTTAAAAATATTTTCAGATTTTTTTTGAAAAATATTACTGTATTAAGTTTTCTCATTTGTCACAAGATTAAACTTAAAATTGCAAAGTACTTTTGAACACTGCTGTTAAATGAAATTAATTTCAGTACAAAAAAAGACTACTCCTTTATTCTCATGATAGTTTTTCTCTTGTTCCATCTGATAATTGTCCACTGTCTCTTGTCCCATTCTGAATGTCCAATGTTCTTTTCCCTTATCCCGTAATAATTACTTGGCATGCTATCCTCTTTTGTCTCATAATAGTTATTCTATGTCCATTCATTCTATCTCGCGATAACTATCCAATTTGCATCTATCTCTTGCATCGAAATATTTATCCGATGTATTTATCTCTTTGGTCTCAAAATAATTATACCTAGTGCTTCTCTCTCTTCCTTCTTAATAATTAACAAATATGCTGTTATCTTTTGTCCCACAATGATTGTCTTGCGCGGTTTTTTATCATAGTAATTATTATATGTACCATTACCTCTTCCTCATATATATTAACCAATTTGATTCTATTTCGTTCGCCAAACGCCAACCCGAAGTACTTTTTCTCTTTGATCACATGATAATTATCCAATGTGCTTCTCTCTCATCTCTCGTAGCAATCAACAATTGTAGCAAATATTCTTTTATCTCTTGTCTCATCAAAAATGTACAATGTACTTTTATCTCTAGCCCCATATTAATTATCTGATACTTGTAATCTAACAGTGACATTTGCATACACACTTATTCGATAAACATGTAGTTTAAATAATTCAGAGCCAATGTAAATTACCTTTGCGTTTCCACTTGTTCCCATGCACAGCACGAGCCATGTATGACGCAAATGGCTACGACTCATGTTACCTTTGCACGATACTTTATGCTCTAACAGATGCTTATTTCCTGCAGCATTCGTACGATAACAACTTTTTTATAATCCCAAAAAGATGATTTTCTAAAACATTATGGTTTACTGCTAGCCACTAACTGCTTAAAAACTTTTTGTACTCCCCTGTGGTTCCTTTGGTACTTTACCACTTGAGTTCTCCAGGAACTTTTACAACACATTTTTTAACCAAATTATTCCTTACAAAATATACTCTCCACTCACTATGTAAAAATAATTTGTACTGTGATTTGCTTAATGGATTTTTGCTTGCTCGATATTATTCATCGATACTTTTTACAATAATAATTTCAACCCTTGTAGAATTTACTTTCTATTCACCACACAAAAATAATTTTGAAAATTACTTGCTTAACTAATTTTAATAGAGCGCCATCAATATGATGTTTTTAAAAATAACTTTTCATTGTGTTTTTAAGAAATTTACTGTTTTCCATCAATTTATCACGCAATTTATTTTCAGCCTAATAATCTATCAAATAATCAATCTGCACGCACAGCCAATTTTGATAAATATCTATAAATAACTGAACTAAAATACATTAACAAATAATGTAGTAAAAAAAAACACTATGTGCTATTAATTTATGCAAATTGTCTTACGCCATTTTTGCTTGCCCCTTTATAATTTATTTAAGCAGAATAACTTCCTGGAAATAAGTCACATAATCAGTGATTAATGATACAAATTGAAATTTTTCGTCGTATTGAGCATTGACAAGAGAAAAAGTGCAAACTTACTTCCAAATAACAAAAAGCTCGTTTTTCAAAAGTCATACAGAAAGAATAAAAGAGTAAAATTTTAAAAAAAAAGCTGAAAATTTGATTTATTAAATTCTCTAGGTTGGATAAATCAACTAAAATACCTTTATAATTATTGTTTTTACTTCTAACACAACTAAATTTTCACAAATCTTTGGAATTTTAATTAATGTTGGTTTTGTTGGAACAATGCTTTTAAGAAATTCTCAGCTATCTAAAGTTTATATCTTTGCATTGCAATTTTGATATATTTTAGCAGTTTCATAATATTTGGATTTTTTTTAGGTTAGATACAATATTAGGTAAAGCTGGGTCCAAATCTGTAGACGTATACGAGTCCAAAATTAGCTTAGCATCGAGAATAGTAAAAGTAGAAAGAAGTGTAAGTATAAATTCAATAGTTTTTCCATTAAAAAATTATTAAGTTCTATATTCGAAAAGAAAACTCAGTTTTATCTTTGATATTGAGCGTCAAACGTACTTGTGATATAAAACATCTGTAATGAGTGATTTTCTAAATTTTGTTTGCATGTTCTTTTGTTGACTACAAACTATGTAATGTACGATTTTGTAGTATGCAGAAGCTGATTTCGATGAAGTTTTAGATCTAATATTTAATTTGTTGTACCAGAATTCTAGATTTGTAGATTGAGGCAGATTTTATTTAAAACATTCTTTAAAAATAATATACCGTGTCTTCCAATGAGTTATAATAGACTGCTGTCGACGCCGTAAAGTATATTTATAACATCAACTGCGCATAAAATTGAATTTGTTGATTATCTAATAAATCTTACTCGCATTTATTTTGAACAAACCACAAATACCTTTAACAACATTTCCCATGATACACTATCTGAATAGACTGTCTTCGTAAGGAGTGAAACAAAAAGTAAGTCAATAAATCATTAAAATGAATTGGTTTTAATCACACAACGCAACAGGACCAAAACTGAAAGGAATGTGCAATGACAGTTAAAGGAGCTAAAATAATTACAATGCCTTTTATTATTAGTTGTTGCCTTTCCCGGAGACTATTTTTTATTAGATTACTCAAGATACATTTTTAAAAGTTCAGCTCATTAAACAACTCCTTAAATTAAAGGTTAACTATACGCAGTATCATTCGGTAGCAAAAATGATGCTATGGGCTCGCTACCTACTCCAGATTGTCAAAATATACTACAATCAAGTAATTTTCTCCATTAATTTTGCTCTTTCGTACACAACTTTTTTCAATTAGCATTAATTTTCGATTATTTATGTTTATATAAATTTGAAAAGCGTAACTATAAAGAAATTAATCGAAATAAATTTTCAATTAATTTCCTTAGTCAATTCAATTAATTCATTAACGGTAGTTGCTTGAGTCTACGCTCCCAGATATTAGGGCTCAAATATAAGTAACTGTTAACGAATTTGAGTATCAAATTCTTCATGAAATGCTGTTTTGTAAGCTATCAAACGTCATTGATGTCCTCTTTCAATTATTTGACTATTGGACTGAATAAAACTTCGAAATTTTTGAATGATTTTTTAGATCAAATTAAAACTTCCTCTTAAACCCGTTGCCAAAGTACCTGGTTCCTAGCACAAACGGTTAAAAGATACGCACAAACAGATGCATAAACTCTTCATTTTATTATTATAAGTGTTCCGCAAGCTTTCTATACCTCTCTTTTCCACCTACATTGGTATGGGATAATCATTTCAAACCCTTTTTGAGTGTAATACTCTGAAGTATAGTTATGCACAGTATGTTTTATTGCCATCCAATGAACAATTCCCTTTTTATATACAGTGTAACGCCAATTGTTTCATTTTTATAGGCAACACTGATAATGATCATGTTCTCTACGTTTTGAATTCTGTTAATCTTTGTATATACAGTACAGCAATATCAAAAAATTGTGGAGAACTCAAAACAAGTATTGATCATTGAAACGAGTAATTTTCTGACTGATATAAAAATACAAGCGTTGGAAATGAAATCAGCCTATTACTCAATTTATGCTGAATTGAACCATACACTGTATTCTTAGCACACACTGTAATAATGCTCAACACAGACAATAATAGACTCTATCTAAATCACTTATTAATAATGCAACGAGTTCAAAAATCAACAAGAGGTCCGTCCTTGAAATTCTGATTAACGTTTTTTTTACAATATTTATGTCTTAAATAAAAATGTAATAATTTTTTTTCTTGCATTTTAGATAGAAGACATCGAAAGCAAAGTGGACCAACTTATCGAAATGTATGTGGAGGATCGACATCGTATGTCCAAAATCATCTCAACATTCACTTCTTCATCGTCCTCTCCTCCTCCACCTCCAACCTCTTCCATGCCTCCTCCCGACTCACCACTGCAAGTGACCACGAAGCACCATCACCATCCCATGCAACAAAAAAGCCCCAAGTCCATACTAGTGGACAACAAACAATACAGTGAACCTTCAACCCCTGTTGCCAAGAGCTTCGAGCAACAGCAACAGCAGCGCACCATCCACCGAGGAAACTCGGACCTCAGCCAGAGGTGTTTCAAAAAGAAAAGAGTAACCGTCCGGCACTCACTAGAAGGTGGTGGTGTATCACCATCGCCACTTCTTTCGGCTCCTCGTATCGAGATAGAGCCGGACACACGAAGAATCTCTTGTTCTGCAGATTCCGTTGATCCGGCATCTTCAGAGACAGCCAGTACCATGGGAACTGAGCTGGACAGTAGTCTTGAAACCAGTGAGATGGACTCGTGTCCGGAGGAGGTTGCCACCGTACGGCAACCGGATTCGGACACAGAAGTGAGCACGGTGACTGTGGTTATGAAGGAGACTGCGTCTTTGTTGAGGCCATCTCTGCATAACCTTCGGGCGTGATTGCAGAAGCACATTTACAAACACACTCCATCCCAAGGACAAATAAATATCACCGCACTCTCACACATATTGCAAAATGAAATAAGAACATTTGCTATTTTTCTCCTCCCTTCATTTCTCTTATCTCGCCTCATCTGGGGCTATATAACATGTATAACTATAAATATAAATAATTATTGTATATAAAGGTGCAATGTCATGTGATAGTCCTCAATTAAATACTCATCTGCTCCAGTCTGTCTGCCTTTTTTTAAATTCTTTTCTATTTCAATTCATGTTCCATCTGCAGACTGCAGTGAAGGAGTGACTTTGATTGAAACTATATACTATCTCGGGTACTAATAGGTTACTCATAGGTTGCAGTTTCTGTCACAGAAATATTTAGGACAATAATATGTTGGAGACATAAGTAATGTAACATAACAAATCAATTCCACAGATTACAAACAAGCTTTTTAATTTTTTATATACCTAGACAACATCACCACTTATGATTCTTGATGATTATTTTCCCTTTGCTACCATTGCGTTTAAGTAACAGGGCATGCTGAGAGTCGCATATGGCTCCCAGCTGTATATATAAGCAGATACTTGATATATATGAGACCCATATTTATAAACAGAAAGTAAATATGTATGAGACACATGTGCATACAGCAAAGCATACATATGTTCTTTTTCTTTTCATGTGACATTCAACTAGCTATGTTGATTTGGAGCTCAGTGTCCGTACAACTCTTGTCGTTTAGCGATTTTTATGTCGCTGTCCCAGGTATTAGAATCGTACCCATTAAGAAAAGGGAAAACACACACATATATATATAGCAGTTNCATATATATATACATATATATATATATATATATATATATATAGGTTTTTAAGTGCATTTATCTACCGACAGTCAAAGAGTAACCATTACATCAACTTAAAATGTCCTCTCTTTCGGGGAGGTAATTTATTTAATGTTAATGCCAAAATCAAAAAATTAATATCAATTTCTTATGAACCCAGAAAATTTAGCCTTACACAGTAAAAAATATCCGATCAAATTAAGGTATAAAAGTACCGGCACTCAGGATGCCGGTACTTTTAACCTTGAAATATTATATCGTAATTTTTAATGTAATGCTTATTTAATTTCTGGGATTTTACGGTAATTATTCCTGTGGAAATTACAGTGTATCATATTTTTTATACTGTAGCATGTTCCGGTAAAGATAGATTTTACAGTAATTTGATCCAAAATCTTTTACAGTATAGAGTAATATTTCAAAAATTAAATAAATAAAAAATAATCACAGACGCTTTTCCTTTTCACAAAATTGTGCACATTTTCAATTGACATTTCGAACCGCTGACTTAAAGTGGAAAAATTTTAGTCTAACAGTCAATGTAACTAGAACTCAAAATAATTATAAAACAAAACCATGTTATACGCCAAACAAAATTCGAAAAACAGCCTTTAATATGTACTATTTTCCCATCAATTGTTATTTTTCATTAATTCTGCCACAGATAAATTTTTATTGATTAAATATTACAATTAATTTTACCATAATGAGTTATGGACATAAGTTTACACTTCTATTGAATGAAAAATGTTGGATTACATTATTTCCTACAGTATATAGTGAATGCTTAAATCACGATTTATGTATTCATACTGTTGCAATTTCTAGTTTTTTTTTTTTTTTNTTTTTTTTTTTTTTTTTTTTTTTTTTTTTTTTTTTTTTTTTTTTTGAAACAGTTGTTAATGTTAAAAAATTATTTGAAAGGAGGAAGATAGTAAGGGATTATTTTTTCCTACTCGCTTTGGAAAAAGTTTTTAGCACATTCCAAAACTTATTTTCGTCAGGGGAGTGCAATTATTTACCTCCCAATTGATACTGATTAAATTTATGGATATCAGTGTAACATATTTTTTTTACATATCTAAGGAGGTTCCTTCACTTGTCAGCCCCCGTATTTGCTTCGCATTCATCATTATTTATTTATTTTTAAACGTTATATATTTCCCACAAAAACACTAAACATTTTTGTCTAAAACTTTGAAATTATAGTTGGTCTATGTAAGAATATGTTAATCATAACGAAATAGACGACAACCTAAATTCGAAAAATAATCATCTGTACTTGAAAAATAGCCATTTTCGTTATAATTTAATAATTATTTTTATTATAATTGAAAAATTATAATTTGTAAAAACTGTTTTTATCGCTACTTATTATGTTTTTTTTTTAATTTCTCTAAGAATGCTGATTTATATTTAGCATCATATAACCTCTCTCTCTCGCTTCTTTTCATTGACATGTACTCTAGTACAAGCTTATAAAGAAAGAGATAAAGATCTCGCAAGAAAAAAAAAAACATTTCAAGAATAATGGATAAATAGTCAATATATAAAGTAATAAAAAGTGTGAAAAAGGATTTAAATATGCAATAACGTTAACGTTTTTGCGTAGCTTTTTATTTAATTTAGCTTAATTTTATATTAATTTTGTATTTGCTAATAATTATCGACTAGACTTAACAATATTTTTAAGACAACATATTTGCTAACGAAAGGAGTTAACTATGTTAAGACAACTATTTCTGGGCCTATTTGATAGTAATTTTTGACGATAATTATTATAATACATAAACTACATAAAATTTAGATACAATAGTTAAAAAAAAAAAAATTCCAATTGCACATTTATTGGACAGTAGTTACAGCACAATAAAAAAAGTGAAATGCAATGATGCAAGATGGTAAACTTAATGATGCAAGATGGTAAACTTAATGCAATATCACTCGGCTAGAGAAGACTTGCGCAAAGCAGAACAGTGCGTAATATGGGAGGCATCCATTTCCTCCCCAAGATTACAAAGTGTGCAGATGAGAGAATGAGCAATGTTAATTCTGCAGAGGTGTTCAAGAAGACAGTCGTGTCCAGTGGCCATGCGGAATTCTGCCTCAGCTCAACGCCTTGGTCCAATATAGGATTTTGGGACTAAACATTAGTTAAATAAAATTACCAATTCAAGAAACACAATTAGCTGTGCTAGAATACTGTATAATGTTTTCTACAAGGAAACAAAATTCTAGAAAAATTACCAGATTCTATAATAATAACCTTTCTAGTAAAATAAATCATTATTATGTTTAATAAAATTAAAATATACGATATTTAAATCAATTATATGGTGCATTTTTTCGTTCATATGGTAACAATTTATTGGAAATTTTGATTTTTAAAATTATAGTTCTTATGACTACGCATATGTTAAAAATACAAAAAGTAAATTTAATTTTTATGCTATGCTCTAAGGTGTCGTGAGGAAATTGACAAATTTCATCACACATTAGTCAATCATATTTTATTGTAAATTTTTTCAAAACCAAAGCTCTACGGTAAATGTTACCCAGTTTTTTGGTGCTCCCATAGGGCCAGAAACACTTCAAATTTTACCATATTCTCAGACTTTCGACCATACAGTTTTTGTAGGCATTATTTTCAAGACAAATTTTTTTCCACAGTAGGATAGTTTGCTAAGAGTCATCAACACTATGAAAGTACGTGTTGTTGTTTCGAATATAAAAGGATTGTGAACGTATATATAAATAGTTACAGTATTTTATGTCTCAAGGCGGTAAGAATTGAGAAATTACGCAATGAAGGAAAAGAAGAAATAAAAATTCACTATTCATCGATAATATCACCTTCTGGACCTCTTCTACATGAAAGAGAATGGAATAAACATTTGTAGTTCTTTGGTAGATCCTTATCATTTATATGAGCAGCTGCCTATCTTTGTAGCACATGAAGTGTAAGTTATTTTCTGTTAAGGATTGAATTCTTTACATCTGGATTGGAAAACTATGAACAAGTAAGATAATATTAGGTATTTTTTAAATAATTTTCACAAACTCTCGTTGAACAATTTTTTAATGAATTTGCGTTTCATCAAAACTATCTTTTTCATTCCTTTAGAAAGTTGTGCTTTCAACTAGCTTTAAAATTTTTAAATATTCTCAGATTTGCTTCTCTATCTGTAACAACAAATGTTTAAGTTTCAATCACTTTCTTAAAAATTAAATATGCAGGGTGTTTTGTTATGAAACCTTTTAATATATATATATGTATATGGCCAGAAATTTCAGAACTAGCCAACGATCTCTTCCAATATTATTCAATAAATGCTTATTATTTCTAAATAAATCATCTAATAAAAATTTTGGGCTTAAAATTCGATTTTTTTATTAATTATAAATTTTGAATTATTTATTATAATATATTATTACTTTGCGCAAATCTAGTTTTCGGGCAAATGCGGTTTAGTATGAACGCACCTTAGAAATACATCTCACTGTCCTCTATTTACTCTTCAATTTCATATTTCGAAGAATGACAACTTAGTTAAAAATTATTTCGAAATCATTTTTGTACGATATTTGTAAGAACATGTAAGTATATGTTCTATTATATTCCTAATTGTGTTTTATTTTGCATTTTTCTAGAATTTTTGTGATTCTTGCTTGATAAAACTTTTATTTTCCGTTCGGTTACTTTGGTTTTCTTTTGGTACTCCTCACACTATTGTATTAATAATATTTTGTTTTGGCTGTATTAATACAGTATTAGAAAGCACCATTTTTCCAGGTAAAATCGTATGAGCTGATTACAGAATTGTATCTTTTCGTAATTATTTTTTCCAATTTTATTTTTATTTATTATTATTAATTATTATTTTTTAAAAATTTTGCTCAATTTTTAATCAAGTCAACGTTTTTTTTTACCCAATTCCGCGTTTTTGCATTAACTATTGCTAACCGGTGTTTAGTTTTTCTTCAATAATAGGAAGTATTTATGCCCCACTTCAAAATTAAAAATCTGAATCAAGTTTCGAATAATAAGGAAATTACCAATTTAAACATCTCCATTTTGTTTTAATTCATTACTCTCTTTACCCTAAGTGATGCATAAAATGAAAGAAAAATATATCAAGCTTTAAATTATAAATGTTCAATGTAAGACCCTTTTGTTACACAACAAATGTCTAATCTTTAAATATACACATATGTTGTTACATGTAGTCAATTGTTAGCAATACTGCACAAATGCATATTTAAAGTTCTTGTGTTGCATGGTTAAAAAACTGGAAGTGTGGGTGATAGTGCTTTAACCGTAATCATATGGCCTCCAAGAACCCCAGCTCTTAACGCCATGTGATTTCTTCTTATGTGCTTACGTCAAAAACACTGTTTATGAACCACCAAATAATACAAAATAGCTAAAAGAACGTATTTGGGCAAAATTAAGAATGAATGCCGGTATTATCTTACAAAATATGAAAAAAACTTATTAACAGATTAGTTTTTTATCGTTTTCTATCGTGTAACGAAAGGGTAACACACAAATATTTTTAACTGAAAATAAATATTTGGCAAATTTTTCTTCATTTTCGTGCATTGTATCATGTGTAATAGACTCGAAAATATAAATATTTGAAATTCGGTCATTTATTTGCGTTAACCCTTTGTAATAATAATATAATTATACATTTTCAGTTTAGACAACAATCAAATCAATTATTTAACTCTGAGATAAATTTTTATTACTTAAGATTAATTTCATTTATTTTTTATATATGTTACCGGTAAAGTATGAAACGCCGGCATTGTACAGAATGCCTAGGCATTGTATAGAATACTGGATGTTTTTAGGCAAAGTATGAAATGTGAGAAGTATTACATACTTTCCCTAGGCATTATATAAAATACCTAGGCATTCTATAGAATGCCTAATGTTATTTAGGCAAAGCATGAAATAAACGTCCTGATGAGGTTATTATGTAAACGTGTTACTGTGAATGGCCGAAATCGGTGGTTGTTGACTTTCACAATCACATAGTCGCTTTGGTGAATGCCGGAAATATTTATTACATCTGATTTGATATTAATTTATTCGTGGATATAATTACATTTATTCGATATTTTAATACTTACTGACGATATATTAGAAGAAACATCAGTGTTTGGAATATCGTTCAAATTTATACCGGGCAATGGCACTTGACCTTAAAAAAACATCAGTGTAGGGTATACCGGGCAAATGTATACCGGGCAATGTCACTTGACCGGGCAATGTCACTTAAGGAAAGACATCAGTGAAGGATATACCGGGCATATGTATACCGGGCAATGGTACTTAACTAGACCTATTATGACTAGACCTTTTTAAAATGTCCGAAATATATACTAGGTCTAGTGCCACTGCCCGGTATAAATTTGCCCGGTATATCCTATACTGATGTTTTTTTAAGGTCAAGTGTCATTGCCCGGTATACCCAACACTGATATTTTTTTAAGGTCAAGTGCCATTGCCCGGTATTTATTTGCCCAATACTCCAAACACTGATGTTTCTTCTAATCTATCGTCTGTAAGTATTAAAATATCGAATAAATGTAATCTATCGTCAGCAAGTATTAAAATATCGAGTAAATTTAATTATATCCACGAATAAATTAATATCAAATCGGATGACGTTTTGAATTTGTCATTTTTAAATGACATTTTGACGAATTGGAGATGTATTTTACACTTTGCCAGTTTCTCATTTGGCATTCTATAGAATGCCTAGGAAATGTGTGAAATATAAATCATTTCATACTTTGCCGGCTAATTTTAGGCATTCTATACAATGCCGGATTTCATACTTTGCCGGTAATATATGTATATTTAGTTCATCCTAAGTAATCAATCCAACACTGAGATAAATATTTATTACATTCAATACATTTAATAATCGCTTTATACGTAGTTAATAAAATCAAATATCTGAAACTGAATTAAGATAAATTTCATATAATTTTGTTCGTATCTTTTGTTTATTTTATCATAAGTAACTTTATTATTTACTTCTCATCCCTACTAAGTAATCATTCCAATTATAAATAAATAATAATAACTTAAAATAAAATTCATTACTTAAAATAAATTTAATAATTGCTTTATACATAGTTAATCAAATCAAATATCTAAAATTGAATTAAGATAAATTTTATTTATCTTTTATGCCTGTTTCTAAGTAATCATAAGTAATTATTCCAACACTTAGATAAATATCGTTACTTACGATAAATTTAATAATTGCTTTTTACATAGTTAATATCATCGAGTATCTGAAACTGATGTAAGATTAATTTCATTTATTTTTTTCATATTTGCTTACTTCATCCTAATTAAATATTCAACACTGAGATAATTATTTATTTCTTAACAACAAAAATTTGATATTTATTATTGATAAGTTTATACTTTGGAAATTATTAAATTAGATAAATATTCATTTCTTGAAATATCGGATTTTTTTTAATTTGTTCACAATAATTTTCTATTAATTTTCATTTTTGTTTAAATTGATATTCACTGAGCGCTCTTGAGGAAATGACTTTTTACTTTCTTGTTTTGTTCCTGTGTGTTTTGCTTTTTAACATGTCAATTCACCTCTGCCATTTGAAATAAATAAATAAATATTCACTGCTATAAATCTTTATCAGATACACTTACATGTGAAAATGTTATAATTTTTTATAAATATTATTCAATATAACGTTCTTTCGATTTTTTTTAATCTGTAACTAATTGTTACAATTTAAAATAATTTTAATGACAAAGATCTTTTCTAGACATATGATTTTAAATATTTGTTCAATTTTCAAAATGTACAATCAAATTGTAATTTTAGGTCAAAACGAAAAAAAACTTCTCATATTGTTTCCATACGTTGGAAAAGATTAATATCTTTCTTAAAGTTATTTGTCTCGCTGACAATGTATAGCGACAAGAAGCCTTAAATCACGAATAAGGATCAAGTGACCTAAAACCCTATGCTCGCATGTTTGCAAACTATAATCACATGTTTAAATAAGATCCACTATTCCATATTAAATAATGCTATAATGAACCATTTAAATGTTTAATTCATTTAAACCAAACATCTTGCACCAAAATAAATAGTAATGATAATTAAATAGTAATTAACTCGTTTAGCAGTATGAACTTATTGCAGTTTACTTACTAACTAGTTCTCAAACTTACTCACAAACTTACATTATGAGTTACAACTAAAAGTCGTGGAACAAGATAGTGATTAGCCTTACTTTTTTCATAAATGAATTTTTTACATGAAGAACATTATTTTGTTCCTTATTTTTTTTCTTAGTGGAAATATTATAAATTTCAATTATTTTCACAAGAGGACAGCCCAATACAGACAACTTATCTACATGGAAATTGTGAGCTTTTTTCTAATGAAACCATTCTCCTGAAAGATTTGAAAGTTTTCTTTGCAATTATTTTGCCCCAAGCCTTACATTGATAATTTTGTTTAGATTTTTTTTTTTGGTTATAAAATTATTTTTTTCCTTCTTAATGTTTTTTTTCTTTTTTTTAAACTAGATTCATAAGAAACTCACAAGAATGCATTTACTAGAAAAAGCATAAGAGTACATCCAATGAAGATTTCATAAAAGTTAGTAAGGAGTTCGTAAAAGTAGTGAACCAACGCAGATGAAGATACATCAACACATTTATTTAAATTAGAAGAGATATGCTACTCCTCGTGGATCAATGTAGAGGCACCAATAAACACTTAAAAAATATGAAATTAGTCTTTTACTATTCTTTAATATTTTCACTCATTTCTGTGTTAGCAAGGGGTCAAACACAGGGTTCAAGCGAGGAGAAAAGTCTGACTGAGGATTCAAGAGAAGTAACAAGTTTGGCTCAGGATTCAAGAGAAGTCGCAAGTCAGACTGAAGATTCAAGAAAGATCAAAAGTCAGGTTCAGGATTTAAGAGAGCTCCAAGGTCAAGGCATGAATCTGCTATTGGGTCCTAATGTAAAACGTTCCATACAAAACTATGTGGCAGCTAGCATGTTAAACATTATACCAGTCTCTACAATTCTTGAAAATGCTCAAATATTATTTTTTGAAAGTTTAGAAAAAGAAACAAATATGGCTGTTACAAATCACCTGAAACCTAATGTATCTTCAGAATGTTTGGATAGTATGAGAGAGTTCGTGAAGGGACTAAAAGAAATGAGAATCTGGGCAATAGAAAGTAAGTATGATCTTCTTTTAAGAAGATGCTTATTTTCTTAAATAATCAGCACGATTTTCGTGAAGTTGTAATTTTGAAGTAATACTTGAGTTTGAGCAATCTGAAATTTAGAAAAATCGTTTTCCTCCTCTTAAAAAGTGCCTTAATATCTTACATTTACAGACAAATGATGAATGCGAATAATCAGTTTAATGCTAAAAACTGAAAGTATGAAAACGTACGTGAACCTTAATTTCATAGCATATCTCATGCCTATTTCATGGTTTCTTTCTATGTTTTCTCAAGTTTGCTTTTTCATGATTTTATTTTAATAATGAATAGTTTTTCAGTTAAGTCCTTTCAGATATACTTTATATAATCACAACACCCTAAAATCGTGTATTCATAACAAGTACACAACACTCTTGATTAAAACCAATTAAAATTAATTTTAAAGGATCGCATTTCGTGTACATAAATTCAATGTTATCGAAAAGTATTCGGGCACTTTTTCAGAAACGCTGAGGACTCCTGGTGGTTCAAGTTGTTTTTTTCCTTTTTAAAGCGAATGAGATGCTTTTTCACAGTAATATTGGGAGTACAAATTAGTTCGGTCCGTTTTTTGTGATCAAAAATGTATTTATTTCTGAACAAAATGAATGAACAGATTAGTCAAAGTATTGTCCATCACTGGCTACAACTTTTTCCCACCTCTCGGGCAATTTTCGAATTCCATCTCGAAACAATTCGTCCCCTTTTGAGGCGATCCAAGTTAGGAGCCAATTTTCGATTTCTGCGAAAGAAGTGAACTGGTGACCTGCCAAATCATGCTGCATCCTTCGAAACAACGAGTAATCAGAAGGAACAATGTCCAGCGAGTAAGGCGGGTGTAGTGAAATATCATACTTGAGCGTTTCCAAATAATTTTTTACGACTTTTGCGACATCAGGCCGACCGTTATTATGCAAAAGAATAACTTTGTCATGTATTTGTTCGTATTCCGGCCGTTTTTCTCTTAATGCACAGCTCAAACGAATCAATTGTAGCCTATACCGGTCACCCGCAATGGAATCACCAGGTTGTAGCAGCTCATAGTATACAACACCATTCCCTATTCTTCATTCGCCGTTCTTGAGACGTCAAAAGCATTCCCTACATGATTTATCAGTTGGAGCATTGTCAACATAAACATCTACAAGAATTCGATGTGCTTCAGCTGCATGTTTCTTCCAATTAAAGCAGAAACATAAAACATCCCACAAATGCTGCTTAGTTACCTCAAAATTTGTTCAACAAATTGTTCAAAATATTCGTATTCAACAAAGTAAAAAACAAGGTTTTTGTATGAAACTAAAAGTGGTATAAACTGAATGTTATTGACAGATGTTTAACCTCTCTGAAACCACCGAAACCAGCTCTCACTACATTCATAACAACTGAGCCATCTTTTAAAAGCAGACCGAACTAATTTGTACTCCCAATATATACATTTCATCGTGTGAGACTAGCACTGTTTATCTTACACAAATTGTATTTACAGGCTACAAATTGTATTTTCCTGAATTGTATTTTAGAATGTATTTCGTCATGCATAGCAATTTGCAATCACTTGATTGATAACAAGCAGGTAAAATCTTATTTTGATCCCCACTTTCCTAATCTTCAAACAACAGTTACACTAAGGTAAACAACGTTTAGGAGCACAAAAATATTTATAAATGCAGACAGCTGTTTCGGATGCTCAAAGGGCAACCTTCATCAGTGCAACAGTATATTGTTGCACTGATGAAGGTTGCCCTTTGAGCATCCGAAACAGCTGTCTGCATTTATAAATATTTTTGTGCTCCTAAACGTTGTTTACCTTAGTTTGTATTTTAGCACAAAGGTCGCCCATTTGTGTATTTAATAGTTACACTGTTGTCACCCTTACCAAATTGCTGCCTTACCAAATTTCTTTAGAAATTATTAAAATGAATGGACCTTTGCTTTTTATCGCAATTTTGTGTCTACTTAAGTAATCCATTACATTTTCTTATGATGACCTTTTGTTGATATGTGAGTGAGTGATTTAACTATATTTTTTACCATCGTGTTGCTACAGAGTGATGTCACAAATCAAATGAAAATTTGGAGAATGTCTCTATCTTACCATGATTCACCCTATTATGGATGGCGACTAAGAACTACCCTGTATATCGCGGGTTTAGTACTAAAACAGTTATAGATACTTCTAAACATCCTATTTTTAAAAACTAATGTTTTAAATTATTTAAAGGTAAGGCTTGAGAACTGTCTAATTTCGCTGGCTTCCACTATGAATGATAAGAGTTAGTTGTGGATTATAGTATTTTAAAGCTCTCTACTTAATCATTAAAATGCCCTACACTAAATCGAAACATATTGGATCAAATGGTGTGCTGTACGCATTAGCAAAGTACTCTACCCCCATTGGCTAAGTACTGTACACATGTTAAATTAAAAAAATAAACATAGAAAGTAAGATAACCAAAATATTATATAAACTTGGTAGCTATCAGATCTAAACTACCTTGAATTTAGTATAGAGCTATGCACAGTAAAAAAAAAATCATTATTCTAATAATTTTTTAAACGTTGGTCGAATTTTCATTCTATAATGATATGTTTATTTTGACACAAAAACACACTTTTTCCAACGAAAGATCCTAACTTTTTATTGTATTCAATTTTAAGTAGAAAATAGCGCATGAAACCAAATATTATAACATTTTGACAATTAAGATGATCTAACAAAAGCAAATGAACATTTGGCGTAGAAAATAGGCATTGATCGAAACAAATTTACGTAAAGCATCATTTGGAAATCGTGCAACCTTTGAGTAGCAAATTTCGTCAACTTACAATTTGTTGTTGTTGTTGTTACATTTATCACTTATATCAGCAAGCCTGCTTGAAATCACTTGAATTTTTAAGGCAGAGGGGCGGGGGATTCTTGTTTTTCAGTGATGCCAGCTATGAACAAGAATACGATTTTGCCACACACACCCGTTTATAGGGATTACCCATTCATATATCCATTCATATATCCACAGATCATGATTTCGACCTGAATCAGAAAATGTTCAGTCACCAATTCAGTACCCCCAGAGGTATTGATTTGTTATGGGAATTTAGAGAACTGTGATACCCCGATGCATTTAACGTGTACAAGTCATCATTTAATACACGGAGATTATTCGGCCGGCTGGAATTGAACTCTCATTATCACGAGCACGAGTCCAACTTTCTACCAACCAGGCTATCTCGGCCCAAGTTACAATTTTGTACAGTGCAGTAAATGCGGCGTCAAATTTGAAAAATAAATAAGAAAGTGCAGCAAGAATTTTTAAGTTATTCATTGCGTGAACTTATCAATCGGTGCGGTGAAAGAAATCTGACCCAAAATTAATCAAATAAATAAAAAGAGGTTGGAAGATTTTCTTACTTCAAATATAAATCAGGAAAAGAAGTATTTTTTTCTCTTTTTTTCAACTATTTAAATTCAAAAAGTGAAATTCTTTTGCCGAATCACTGCAATATTCCTGGATTTATATAGGAAAAAATTTCAATTTAACTTGCACATATTAAAAAAAGAATAATAATATATGTTCGTCTTGATAGAAATATGTTTTTACATACATAAATAAAACTTAATACGATTGCTCTGAATTCAATTAAGATTAGATACTATTTAGTTCCTTCATTCAAATAAATAAAAGAAATGTATAACGAAAAAACAGGGTGGAACAAAACAAGAAACACGCCCTCTGCCATAAGCATTCGCTTGATTTCAAGCAGGCTTGCTGGTATGGGCAAGTGGCTTAAGTAACAACAACAACAGAAAGGATTAACTCATTCATTTACAGACTAACTCGAATGACGTAAAGTATGAAGCGCTGAAATTTGGCGATATTTACATAAAAGCGATATAATCAAAACTTTTATACCTTACAATTCAAGAGATTTTTCATTGATAAAGAAATATTGATTCATTAAAAAAATATATTTATTTTATTTAAATTCCTCATAATATTATACCTTTGAGCCAATGCTTTATAACATTTTGTGTAAGAATTCTTTTAATGTAACGAATACTAGATAAATGTAACGAATACTTAATGTAACGAACACTAGACGAAGCACACAATATGAAACTTGATTCGCGCCTAAATATTTTACTAAGTACTTATTAATGTTGAGAGAATTCAAACAGATTATCGATGTCATTAATCTATTATAAAAAATGTAATTTATTGGACAAAATACACAGCATGGAACTTGATTCTCGCATAAATATTTTGTGAATTACATATTATTATTTAGAGAATTCAAACTATATTTCAATATTTTATTAGACACATTAATATTAATAAAAATTCAAACAGTATTCCGATATGAGCGAGATTGCTGATCGATAATAAAAGTAGATCATTAAGAGGACAATACGAAACTTGATTCGTGCCTAAATGGTTTAACACTAATTTATTCTTTTCAGTGGTGGACTCTTTCGGGAAAATACCTAGTGGTATACTTGAAGGAACAGTGAATGCTTTTGGAGATTATGACCAGTGTGTCAACGCAAATGTACCTGGAAAATTTCAAGGACACTATTGCCGTTTGGCAGTAAGACAATCCAGCAAAAATTCAGGAAATACATCGTTTGATTTCACACCCATCGATGTATCATATGCATATAACAGAAATTCGTCAAAGGTAGTTATTGCTGAACATTTATATGTAGCACATTTAAGTTAACTGATTATAAATCTAGCGGTGCTAATAATTGCCAAACTACAGTGCTATCTATAATTAATTTTATTATTATTCTATAATTAAAACTCTGGATGGCAACTTCTTCAGTTTTTCTTTTATCCTTACCCTTATGCCATAAGCTATTTTATACTTACCCTTCATCGGTGGCAACCGGACTATAAAACTAATAAAACTATAGGACAATGCACCGTGCATTGCTAGAGTTAGCATTAAACCTACACCGTTTCGGAAACAGGATCCAAATATATTGTTTCTGCAGTTGGAAGCACAATTCCGAACTTCTTCAATAACAGTTGATCAAACAATTATGCCATAACTGTTAATTATTTCGTAAGCACCATTGAATCCGAAATATTCTCACAAGTTGCGGATATATTGACGAATCTACCACAAGACGGCGATTTGGGTGATAAAAAGCCTTCTCAGCTATTGTGTGGAACGAAAGATTTTGCGACTGATAAAGTAACTGAACCATATCTTCATACACTTTGGCTGAGCAGCGATGGCTCAGGGAGTAGAGTGTTCGCCTTCCTGTGAGGCGAACCGGGTTCGAGTCCCAGTTGATACGAATTCCGCATCCGGCTTGCACCGACCACAGTGCTGACGTGAAATATTCTCAGTGATAGACGGATAGCGGGTTAAAGTCCTCTTGCCATCAGGCAAACCGTGGTACGCTCTCGTGGTGTTCCTCTCCATGTAGCGCAAATGCGGGTTAGTTCCATCAAAAAGTCCGCCACGAAGGCAAATTTCTCCCAATACNATGCCCCCTTACGGGGGCGGGACGGGCTTAAGCTTGTTATTAGTAGTCGTAAACCCAAAAAATTGGATCGGCTATTCAACGACAATTATTAAAAAAAACCACTTTGACTTCAAAGATTGCATTTTAGAAATAGGAAGCATTTTGTCAATCAGTGACAATGATTTATCGAAATTGGAGATAAAATGAGGGAAATAAAATCAACATCGTTTCAAAGAGCTGCCATTGCACGTCAGAATAATGACAATATCATAGTTAAGCAACAGGAGAAAATTTCGGAACTATCATTAAAAGTTAATCCCGCTCTAGAAACACTTTTTGTAAAAAGTGTAGCAATTTAGAACGCAGTATATGTTATTATCACTCGAAGTTTGGCGACAAAGCTTTTTTCTTTAGATGCAATAAACCTGGCGATTAGCATAACAAGATCGAGTGCCAGACTAGATCCCCGACCCTCACTGACGACAGAGAGTCAAGGGACGGAACTGTGTTGTCTTTTTATTAGGGACAAAGGAACCGCCACCCACTTTTTTATCGATACAGGTGAGGAAATTTCGGTGATACCCACATAGCCATATGAAAAAAGATAGACGAACTAGAGACAAACTAGAAAAGTTGACAAACTACATCTGTTTGCTGACAACTGAACCAAAGTTAAAACTTATGGACAAAAATTATTAAAGTTAGATTTGGGACTGAGACGAGCATTTATTTGGCCTTTAGTGATTGCAGATGTTAATAAACCAATAATGGGTACTGACTTTCGTCTCATTTCCACCTTTTGATCAATAGCAAAAATCGCAAATTAATAAATGACACAACATCCCTATCCTCTATCAGTATATCTTGTTATCGAGTTGATACACCAATACTAAATGCAGTACAAAATCAGTACGAAGGTATTCTTAAATGATTTCCTGACCTATTACGACCAAAGTTAAGAGTCACAACATTGAACGTTTTATAGAAACCAAAGAAGATCCTATTACCGCAAGAACTAGAAGACTCTCATCAGAAAAACTAAAAGCAGCTAATATTAGTCTTAAATATAAATTTCTTTAACACATTGCTGATTTTATGTTCAGAGTTGATGTCATAAAAATCAGACGGTTTTGTTCCTTAAGTTCAGACTAAGTTTTGTTATTTGTTTTTGCTAATGCAATTTAAACATACTTATACTTTCTGTTATTTAGACACTTTTGGAAATGTCTGCTGAAGGAGGTGTGGATGGTCTGAAATATTTTCCAATAACGACATCTATATGCGTTCCGTCAACATGCAATGTAGAAGAAGTGAGATATCTTTTAGCAACAGGTTAATAACATGAGTCAATCAATTGCTTATACACACAAAAAATTATCCCCTTATATTTCTACACCTCCGATTTGAAAAAAAAAACAATTGCTGTTACGTTAGAATGCATCATTTTAGGCTCATAAAAAGTTTACGTAATAAATTTAAAAATTTATTTAAAAAGATTGGGGGGTTTTTTGCATTTTTACAACACTGTGCTGCAAAATGACAAAACAGCGATTGTTGTATTTCTATAACCTTGTGAAAAATGACATAATGATTCAAATATTCAAAAATTTCAATTCGATTCATTTATATTAATTTAAAAAATTTCAATTTCAAGTATTCATGAAGCAAACGGGCGTAGCATTGTAAGCAACAAATTGAACTACATTTCTAAAAATTACTTCATTATCGACTTATGGAAGAAAAAAGTTGAACAATATGTTTCGAGCAATAATTGTTGTCATATATTTGTGTAATGCAATAATGTTGCAGTGTTGCAAAAATTGACAAAATCATCCTTCAAAACTCATATGCAAATACGCATATGATTTCTCTGTTTGTTGCAGATATGCAAGCAACATTGTGGCAAAAAGTGTTAACATTTTATTTTATAATTATAATATCTCTCTTATACATTGCCATCCTTAATATATGATATTTAGAATACTTAACATGAAACAAGTAAAAAAGGTGAGCTAAAGTGAGGTCGCGGAATTAAGACAAGAAAAAGTCAGTCGAATCACAAATGAGGAAAAACTCCAAAACTAGTACGTTTGCTTGATATGGAAGTGATTTCACAGGAAGCGCTTCTCAACACTAGTTTGTTTCATACGAAAGATCCATACCAAATGAATCAGATACAGCACCTCTCAACACTTGCCCGTTTCATATAGCAGATCCATACCAAATGAATCACATTAGAACAGTTTAGAAAAGATTAAAACCGTTTATTATGGTAGCCTCAATGTTTAACCTAATCCCAACAATCCTCCCAAGGAGTTGACTCAGGTTCGAATTCTATTGATGGGTGTTTGATACTAATTCTTGCTCCCTACTCACACCGACCACAGTGCTGACGTACAATATCCTCAGTGGAAGACAGATAATGGATTAGAGCTTCTTTGTCGTTTGGCTGAGAATGAGAAGTGTTCATGGAGTGCGAAAGAAGGTTATATAGTTCCATCGAAATGTTCCCCACGAAAGTTAGTTTGTCTCAATGCTTGATCTCAGAATTCCCTTATCTTCTGGGTTGGATTCAAAATTACACGGCCACGGAATCGAGCATTGATAGTCGTAAATTCAGAATAGGGTCTGCTGTTCAACACTGGTTATAAAATAAAATAAAATATGATGTTTAGTGCACAAAAATGCTGTCATTTTTTCACAAACTAGCATTCGGCGGTAGGGACAATTAGAAGCTTTAATTTACGCTGTTTTTTTATCAAAATAAATAATACTCTTTTTAAGTATTCAGAGTAAATACTAAGATATTTCAGGTACAGATACATATTTATAAAATATTTATTGACAAAAATATTTTTTAATTCATGCATCATGTTCAAGAAAAGTCGTGAAATAACCCTGCTAGAACTGAACCTTAATGTGGTTCGAATGCCTCACCAGAAATATGCTGATTAATGAATGCAGACGGTATTTTAAATTATAGAATTAGAAATGTTATGAAATCAGATATCAGTATGAACTAAGTTATGAAAACGTATTTTTTCTGTAAAAAAAGGACGTATTTGGAATTTCGATAAGCAAAATATAAAGTGTACTCGCTATCTGGAAAGTACGGTTCCAATAGTTGAAGCAAGAGAGCGGTCGAAAGTTAGGGCTCCATAATGTTAGTTCGACTTTTGTCTCATGTCTCTAAAACTAATAGCGCAAATCAAAACATCTTTAAAAAAACTCAAATTTCCAAAGATAGTTTTGTGGCAAAAATGATAATAAACAAAAAAGCAAATCTTATGCTCTTTTTTAACTTTCTTTTGTAGAAACTATTTGAACAATTTCTTTCAAATTTGTCTATCGTCATATAAAATTACATACTTTAAAACGATATAAAATTTTACATGACTTGCAATTTATAATTTAAGTAAAATAACCATAAATAATTATGAACAATTATTTTTTCCAAAAAACCATATTTAATTGCACGAGGTGCATCATTGCGGGAAAAAGTTTTTCCCATTTGTGAAATTAGTTTTAGAGATTCATGCCATACACAATAACGCAAAAAGTGAACTTAAATGGACCAAACTTTCGATTGTTTCCTCACTAACTCATGTGACAATATTTTCCATAAAGCAGCCACTAGCCGCTCCCATTTTGATAGCCAAAAATCTAAATCTAAGGGGCAAAAAATTTAACTAAATTATTTGTTGGTACTAAATATTTAACGTATTTGAGATTGATCCTCAATACTAGTTTATAATAAGTGAAAGTCTGCTAAGCAAAAATCATTAAGGGTTTACTCTCGCTTACCTTTTCTTAAGTTGAATCTTGTATTACAGGTTATATATAGTATTGATGAAAAGATCAATAACTTAGTTTTTTTTTCTATATAGTTAATAAGCCAAATCAAGACGCTCTTAATATTGCTGTGCATGACTGTCTCCTCAAAAAGGAGTTAAACTTAACATCTACTCAAAAAGCAATACTGTAAGTATAAATAGTATCAAAAAGACAGAAAACTTGATTATTTATTTCATTTTAAGCAAAACAATGAATGCTGGTATATATATATACAGGGTGTCTATAAAAGAACTCCGGGGTTTTAAAAATTCATATCTCACTAACTATAAAAGATAGCAAAATTTAGTCGATTTCTCTGAAAAGAGTAGCTCAAAAAGTTTTACTCATACCAATTGGGAATGTTTGTATCAACTGTTGGCG